TCTCGGTCTTGATAGACTCTGGTCTTGGTCTTGTCTCGGTCTTGATACACTCTGGTCTTGGTCTTGGTCTCAGTCTCGATACACTCTGGTCTTGGTCTTGTCTTGGTCTCGATACACTCTGGTCTTGGTCTTGTCTCGGTCTCGATACACTCTGGTCTTGGTTTTGTCTCGGTCTCGATACACTCTGGTCTTGGTCTCAGTCTCGATACACTCTGGTCTTGGTCTCGGTCTCAGTCTCGATACACTCTGGTCTTGGTCTTGTCTCGGTCTCGATACACTCTGGTCTTGGTCTTGGTCTCAGTCTCGATACACTCTGGTCTTGGTCTTGGTCTCAGTCTCGATACACTCTGGTCTTGGTCTCGGTCTCAGTCTCGATACACTCTGGTCTTTGGTCATGTGTTGGTCTCGAATCGATACACTCTGGTCTTGGTCTTGGTCTCAGTCTCGATACACTCTGGTCTTGGTCTTGGTCTCGGTCTCGATACACTCTGGTCTTGGTCTTGGTCTCAGTCTCGATACACTCTGGTCTTTGGTCATGTGTTGGTCTCGAATCGATACACTCTGGTCTTGGTCTTGGTCTCAGTCTCGATACACTCTGGTCTTGGTCTTGGTCTCAGTCTCGATACACTCTGGTCTTGGTCTCGGTCTCAGTCTCGATACACTCTGGTCTTGGTCTTGTCTCGGTCTCGATACACTCTGGTCTTGGTCTTGGTCTCAGTCTCGATACACTCTGGTCTTGGTCTTGTCTCGGTCTCGATACACTCTGGTCTTGGTCTTGGTCTCAGTCTCGATACACTCTGGTCTTTGGTCATGTGTTGGTCTCGAATCGATACACTCTGGTCTTGGTCTTGGTCTCAGTCTCGATACACTCTGGTCTTGGTCTTGGTCTCAGTCTCGATACACTCTGGTCTTGGTCTTGGTCTCAGTCTCGATACACTCTGGTCTTGGTCTTGGTCTCAGTCTCGATACACTCTGGTCTTGGTCTTGGTCTCAGTCTCGATACACTTTGGTCTTGGTCTTGTCTCGGTCTCGATACACTCTAGTCTTTGGTCATGTGTCGGTCTCGATACACTCTAGTCTTTGGTCATGTGTCGGTCTCGATACACTCTGGTCTTGGTCTTGTCTCGGTCTCAATACACTCTGGTCTTAGTCTTGTCTTGGTCTCGGGTTAGCTGGTCTTGACTACAACATTGGCTCCAAACGGATGTGAGTGGTGGAACAGGCAATAGCATCCTAACAGCATTTGTTTCATTTGATTTCAGGATGAAATATGACCCAAAAACTCTCCTAAAATGACACCTACACAGGTTTCCCCTCTCAAGCACACTCAAAAGAACACACTTTGCATCCTCCCACGTCCCATATCCCCCATACTTCTGTTTTCATGGACACATTTGTCAACCTGTCAGATTAAATCTGTCACTTCTTTCTCTCCGACACGGCAGCGCTGCGTTACCTTCTCCCTCTGTGATCCGACACACGAGGACAAGCGCAGGTTTTTTAGCTAACTTTTCCCCTCTCTGTGCTAGTGATCCAACTGTCCTTTCACTGTAATGTTGAATAGCCACATCGGAGTGCTTCGGGAGAGAGAGAGAGAGAGCGGGGGCTTGTTTGGCACGTTGGGAATTTGATTGACGACTCCAAACAAAACATCTTTTGGCTTTTGATTTCGGACAGCTTGCCTGGAGCCAGTCAAGAGCACGAGCTGTTTTCTCTCACCAGGGTTTCGTTTGTCTCTCCCTTAACATTCCCCGTGTCCGATTTCACCCCGGTTGTCTTTTGGCGTGCTTTTAGTCGAAACAGAACGTATAGCGCAGGCAGAGGGCATTGTTCATTGTTACTGGGTTTGTTTGGGGATTTGTTTTGGCATCGGCGGTAAGTTTTGTTCTGGTTGGTTTTCACAGTTCTCTTTCCATCTTCTGATCAGTCGGCTGATCCTGTGATGCACAAACGTTACAATGTGATTCGGTCTGGTGCCCAAAACAAGTATTTATACCAAAACAAGTATAAATGTGTAAAAACATCAGATCAAGTGACTAGATATGTGATATTTTGTTATCTAATGTGATGACATTAATGTTAATTTGGCTCAAGTATCCATCCACTTTTCAGGAATGGATTTTATTATTTTATATGCTAATACAGGTCAAAAGTTTGAAATAATTCAGATTTTTTTCATGTTTTTGCTCACCAAGGCTGCGTTTATTTCATGCATCATTTTTCAGTAAAAGATATTAATTTTGTGAAATATTATTACAATTTTAAATAATTGTTTTCTAGTGTAATGCCATTCATTCCTTATATATTATTCCTTATTTATATCCTTATGTTACTCAGCTATTAAAATTCAGCTTTGCTATCACAAAATAAATTACATTTTAAAGTAATTTTCAAATAGAAAACACCTATATAAACGGCAATAATATTTCACAATATTACTACTGTATTTTTGATCAAATAAATGCAGCCGTTGTGAGCTTTAAACATTTAAAAGACTCAAAGATTATGTATATTATATTTTGCAAAATCACATAAATACATTTTTACATTCACAAATTTGATTTAAAACCAAAACATGAAAGGTTTCCCTGTTGTTTTCTATGGATTTAAATTAAATCTTTAAGCTATTCTCTACAATATTTCATCAGCTAGTTATTGCTGTTGTCTTGCGTAGAGTAAAACCTGCCGAATCATTCTTTCGAGTCGATTCTTTTTTGTGAGTCACTCTGAATGACTTGTTAACGAAATGAATCCTTTTAAAAATCCATATCCAACGACTGGAAAGGTCATAGTAATTCATCGGTCGAAAAGTGCAGAAACCCTTATAAACGTAAGCACTAAATTTGATTCACAGCGTTTGATGACTCGAAATCAATTATGAAGTTAATCTGAGCGCTGATACGAGGTGCTGGACTCAATCAATGCTCCTCTTTTTGTCATTTAGGTGTTTTCCAGAAAGACGCGGCCCAACTCGATTAATATTGAAAGGTCACGGCTCCTTGCTCTTTAATAAATGATTGGTTGATGAATTTGACATAACCCAATCAATGACTGTGTCTCGGTCACATTTTAAAACACATTGGCGTTCGGATCTCAGTGTTTACTTCAGCTCATTGCAGGGAAAACAGCTCAGCGGTTGTTTGGTTATGATAATGTCTCCATTTCTGGTGTTTTTAGACTTTAGAAAGGGAAATGGATTTGTTTCCTATATGATGGCGTGTGCTATAGCCTATTATGAGAATGAGAGAGCCTTTGAGAGAAGATTTACTGGTCCAGTCAAGTCACAATGTCGTAGTGCTTTTACTCAGCAAAACTCCCCGTGTCTGTAACGGATCTGGTAACGCGGGCTGTGTTTATCAGAAAGTCATGCTCTAGCGCTGGAGGTGACAGTGATGTATGTCCTGTATGATGGATGGCTTTTGTGCCTGTATGCAAGTCCATTAGTTGAGCTGTTGCTGTAGTATTTTGCTGTTCGTCAGTGTTAGTCACATTCATACATCTGGCGTTTCAGCAGCCGCTGGAAAAGCTTTTGGGCAGTTCTGGGGAACTTTAGACTTGCTGTTTTTAGCTCTTAACCCACAATTATATTCTTTTATCTATATATATATATATATATATATATATATTCTAGATTTCCTACAAAAGAGAATGTGGTCCCAACATACATTACTGGTTATCCACCCTTAGATCATTTCTTTGGTAGGAGTCATTGATACAACAGTTTAAGGAATTGTGCTGAACTGACACACAACATGTATCTCCTTTTCCTTGCAGTGTGTTTGTAGCAGACATCATTGTGCACCATCATTAAAGGAGTAGTTCACTTTAAAAAAAAAAAAAAAAAAAAAAAAAAAAAAAACTTTTGCTGATAATTTACTCACCCCCATGTCTTCCAAGATGTCCATGTCTTTCTTTCTTCATTTGAAAACAAATTAAGGTTTTTGATGAAAACATTCCAGGATTTTCTCCATATAATGGACTTCAATGGGAACCAAACGGTTCAAGGTCCAAAAGACAGTTTCAGTGCAGCTTTAAACGACACCAGACGATGAATAAGGGTTTTGTTTGTTTGTTCTCTTAACTCACAATTATATTATTTTATGTATATATACATATATATATATATATATTCTAGATTTCCCCACATTTATATATATATATATATATATATATATATATATATATGTGTGTGTGTCTGTGTGTGTGTGTGTTCAGAAAAAAAAGGTACAAAAGCTGTCAATGGGTCAGTACCCTTCAAAAGAGTTCTAATATGTACAATTTAGGTACTAATGTGTACTTTTGATACCAATATGTACCATTGAGGGACTAATATGCACTTGAAGGACTATTGAGGGACTATGAAGGTGTACCTTTTGGTACCACCACAGTGACAGCTTTTTACCTTTATTTCTGAAAGTACTGTATGCAGTATTATGCTGTAAACTGATATTGTGAAATTTAAGTATTTACTAAATACAACTAACTGTCATTAGAGTATTAGTAGACTGTCAGCTTACAGAAATATCTGCTAACACTTTATTTTGTTGGTTCCCTAACAGACATTCAACTGACTATAAGTAACTACAAGTAAACTTATTCTCCTAACCCAAAGCCTAACACCTAACCATAACCTGACTAATACTCTAATGAGAGTTAGTTGAAATGTAGTTGAAAAGTTACTTATAATTAGTAGAAATAAAGTGTAACCGAAAAAATTCTGCATTTATTTTTGTGACCATTTGTGTTAAAGTCACTTTTGATCAATTCAATGTGTCCTCGCTGCTGAAAAGTATTCTTTTCCTCATTGAAAAGTTTCGACCCCAAACTTCTGAACTATTCTGAAATATTTAGTACTTTTCCCTCCTAATTTTGTAAAAGCGTTGAAAGTAACAGCAAGTTGACGTATTGCTCGTAATGAAAAGTCCTGTATAATTAGGCTCACCTTTTGCATTTATTGAGCCATGTTACGTAACATTCTGTGTGTCCTCTCCTCTCACTAGACAACACAGCCGGCATCAGAACGCAGCGGTCTGGCTTTAACCGTCAGGAGCAGAACGTGTACCTGTTGCCCATCCTGGTGGTGGACAGCGGCCCTCCGGCCCTCAGCAGCACGGGGACCCTCACCATACACGTGTGTGGCTGTGACCCGGACGGGGCCATTCAGTCCTGCAACGCCACGGCGTACGTCATGTCCGCTGCGCTCAGCCCTGGCGCTCTCATCGCACTGCTGGTGTGCATCCTCATTCTCATCGGTAAAACCTTTTACTTCAACTTTCTTTATTGATTGCTTTTTTCCACGTTCATCTTTCTTCATTTGAGAATGAAAAATTCTCTATATCAGTGTCAGTGTTTCTCCATTGTAGTTTTCTTCAACGAACACGTTCCTCATTTCAACAATTTATGCGCAGAATAAAGGGGCGGGGCCTGGTTGAGTTAGTTAGTAGTGTGTTGAATCTGGTGGTTATGGTAAGGGGCGGGATCATTTCCCAAACACACTCTAAGCGCCGAATCAATCACAACACACTGCTCCAGCCGACCAATCAGAGCACAGCGTGCTTTTCAGAAGGAGGGGCTTCATAGAGACAGGAACTAAACAGGGGTGTGTTAACCATTTAGCAACTTTGTTGCTTCACTCTAAACAAGGGTTGTTTTAACCCAAATTTGGGTCAAATATGGACAAACCCAAATGTTGGGTTAAAAATGATTTCAACTTTCACTTTTTAACTTTATATTTTTTAATTGCATTTTTAACCCAACATTTGAGTTTGTCCATATTTGACCCAAATTTGGGTTGGAAGAACCCCACATTTTTTTAGAGTTTCCCATTGCCAACTAAGTTTCTAACAGGTTGGCAACTATGGTTTTGGGAAACGCACTCCAGAGCGTTACTGGCAGACTACACTATAAAAATGCTGGGTTGTTTTATCCCAATTTTGGGTAAAATATGGACAAACCCAGCCATTGGGTTGGGTTACACTTTTAAATTACATTTTTTAACCCAATGGCTGGGTTTGTCCATATTTTACCCAAAATTGGGTTAAAACAACCCAGCATTGTTAGAGTGTAGAAGCGAGGAGCTGCAACAATGGTGAATATGAGGAAAATAATCAACACTCAAGCATTAAAACCTGTTCTAGTGAAAAAATTAAATCAAGGGCATAATATGGCCTCTTTAAATACAAATGTGAAATGCATGCTTCAGGAAGCCAAAGCAGGAAAGAAAATATTGCAGTGTTGGACTATTTTTTTTGGAGGTGGATGAACTCGCTATGCATTAATGGTGTAATTCCTGTGGGTGGAGTTGGTTGAATTTAAACCGTGCTTTACAGATAGTTGCATCACACACTCACACGGGTACCAAGCAAAAGTAACCAAGTTTGTGTGTTTGTTTGTTTTTCGCGATGAAAGACTTTTGACAGACTGAGCTGATATGCGATTCTGTCACACCAGTCCCATGCTGTATGCATGCAATAATATGTTATCGGTATAGCTTTGAAACAGTGTGACTGATTTGACAGCATATTGACTGGTAGAGTATTGCAGAGGCCGTGGGTTTGAATCCTATAGTGCACAGATGAATTCAATGTTTGCTATGTGAAGAGTTCAGATGCAAAAGCCTCTAAATGCCATTTGAAATTTTCTTCTTTAATGATGATTTTTGTCAAACTTGTATATTTTTAATTTCAGTAATTTCACTTAAATAAATTAATAGGTAATTATCATTGCCATTTAAGTGAAATCACTGAACTTAAATATGCAAGCTTGATAAAAATGATCATTAAAGAAGAAAATTTCAAATGGCATTTAGAGGCTTTTGCATCTGAACTCTTCATGTATAAAATCATAAAGATTTTGCATGCTTAACATAACTTTTAAATCCTTTAAATCACAAGCTGATTGATGGATCTCGAAGATGCAAATACATCCACGTGTTTGAGCATTATTATCTGTATTTATGGATCGATTAATAAAACCTTTCATCAGTAGAGTGCATCGAGACCAGCGGACTATAGAGGTAAGCAAGTGCTGAACATTTGTACATACCTCTACGACCACTGTAACTCTTTTAATGGTCCATCGTCATTCTTTATATCCTTGTTCGTGGGTTCAAATGCGGCAGGAGGCAAAAAACCAAACTAGAATGACATGAAAGCTGATCAATATTTAATAATACAGCATTCTCTTCCCACTGACTGCATTTGCTCGTCCTCTATCAGGAAGAGTACGAAAGCTTTTGTTCACACACACACACACACACAATCCAGGCCTCAGTGAATGACATCCAGCCTCTCTAGTGGAGAAGTGGTGAGTTAAGGGAAGCTGGTGAAAAGAGCAGCATCAGCACCACCACCGTCCCTGCGGATCACTGAGCGCTTTAAATAGAGCAGCCTTTCCAGACATCCACGGCACTCCTGTTCCCGTGTAGAAGAGCCGTCGGACTGCGGTTCTGTTGTCATCGCTGAAAGTTTTATGACTTTCTTCTGGCCTCAGTATATCTGTCTTTATTTCTCTCCTCTCCACTTAGAGCTTTTCCCATCCCTCTCTCTCTCTCTCTCTGTCCTCTGCAGTCGCTTATAAAGTATGCCACATGAATTGTTCTCAGTCAGCTGTGCAGGGTTTCTTTTCCCCTCCCTGTTGCTCATCTTTCCTGCGGTAAATCATTTATAAGTCGTGTGCGGGTCATCGGACGCACATCCTTTCTGTTTAATTAGCCATGTTTGCTCAGTCTAGCATCACTATCATTATTGCTCATACTTTTTGTCTGGGACTTTTCAAAACCGTTAACCCTAAGTATTAGAGCTTGTTGTGAAATGATAATACAGTCTTTGAAAGCATCATTTATGCTTTTTTTTCTTCCCTATCCACTCCAAATAAATACGATTTTAGTTTAAAGTTTAAAGTTCACTTTTAAAAAACTTTTGCTGATAATTTACTCGCCCACATGTCATCCAAGATGTCCATGTCTTTCTTTCTTCAGTTGAAAAGAAATTAAGGTTTTTGATGAAAACATTTTTAGGATTTTTCTCCATATAATGGACTTCAATGGGAACCAAACGGTCCAAAAGACAGTTTCAGTGCAAACTGTTCAAAGGGCTTTAAAAGATTCCTTTCTGTTCTTTGATGTGCGTTCGTGACTCTCATATTCGAACTCGTTCATCAAAATGAACAAATCTTTTCCCAAGTCAATTCGTTCGTTTCGTTCGTTGAATGAACCAAATGACACGAAAAAAGATTCGTTCATTTTGAACAGGAGAATCACGGATGCACATTACAGAATAGAGCAAGGCGACCATTTGAGCTTATAAAACTTAAACTTTGTTTTTTTTTTTTTTAAATGAGCGATCGTTTCGCTTGATAAGACCCTTATTCATCGTTTGGTGTCGTTTAAAGTCCTTTCAACAGTTTGCAGTTTACACTGAACCTTGAACCGTTTGGTTCCCATTGAAGTCCATTATATGGAGAAAAATGTTTTCATCAAAAACCTTTACATATTATTATAAAATAAACCCATTAAAAAAAAAAAAAAACATTTTCATTACTGGCTGTGTTGAAAAGTATGGGGTGTGTCCAATGGTTGGGGGTGTGCTGAAAGGTTGGGAGAATGTCGAAATGTAGGGGGTGTCCCGAAAGGTTGGGAGTTTGTCGAATGGTTGGAGGCATGCTGAAGGGTTGAGGATGTGTTGAAAGGTGGGGGCCGGGGTGTGCCGAAAATAGGGGTTGTGTTGAAATGTGGGATTGTGGTAAAAACTAGGGGGCGTGTCGAAAGGCTGGGGCGTGCTAAAGGGTAAGGGGTTTGTGGAAATGTAGGGGGCATTCAGGAATGTAGGGGTGTGCCAAAGAGTAGGGGCCATGTCGAATGTTAGGGGCGTGCTGAAAAGTAGGGGTTGTGTTGAAAGGTTAGAGGCTTGCTGAAATGTAGGGGGCGTGACGAACAGTTTCAAAAAGTAATGTTTCACAAAGTAGGGTTGTGGGCATGTGGATATGCCAAAATGTAGGGGGAATGTGTTGAAAGGTAGCAGTCATATCACAGATTTGAGAGTGCAATACTGTAAGAAAGCACTTAGCAACCATCTAAGTAGCTACATAGCAACACCTTAGCAACCGCATGGCAATGCCTAACCAACTACTCACAACACTAGCATTACAGTAGTGAGTTTTTCCATGGACAAATGCCACTCATTCTCCGGAAATATCTAATCATCTTGACATTAGTGTTAATGTGTGAGTGAAGCACCTCAAAATTTATCTCTAATTAATAATTAAATTGAAATGTCGTTCCAAAGGACATGATCCTCTTCTGAAGTGAACATCAATTAAATCTGAAGCAGCACAGTAAAGCGGATGAAAGTTTAATGCTAGGTGTTTGAAACCTTGGTAAGCCTCTCTTACCTCACTCCTTAAATGTGTATAAGTTTTCTCTTTTTGATGTATTTTATTTATGGAGTCAAAATCGTATTTAGAAATAAAATCCATACTGGGCTGGTCTAGTCTTTTAAAGGGATACTCCACTTTTTTTTTTGGAAATAGGCTCATTTTACAACTCCCCCAGAGTTACACAGTTGAGTTTTACCGTTTTCAAATCCATTCAGCCGATTTTCTGATATTTAGAAGAATATCAGTAACCAGGCACTTTCTGGTCTCATTGACTTCCATAGTATATTTTGTTTTTCCTACTATGGAAGTCAATGAGACCAGAAACTGTCTGGTTACTGATATTCTTCTAAATATAAAGAAATCGGCTGAATGGATGCGAATACGGTAAAACCCAACTGTGTAACTCTGGGGGAGTTGTAAAATGAGCCTATTTCCAAAAAAAAAAAAGTGGAGTATCCCTTTAAATGTAATGAAAAGTTTCAACAGGCATCGAGTGCAAAGATGGGCTCCCTCCTGATCACAGCCTTCTTCCAATGCCGCACCGTTCCTATTAGATCAATTTGTGGCATGATAAGGAGGGAATGAAAACAAATTTCTGCCTAATTACCTTCAAACAAACAACCCCTCCATCAGTTCATTCCGAGGGTGACGTGATAAATCCATTTGGGCGCGGCAAGGCATCTGCACACATCCGTCCCAATTACAGCCCATCTGCCATGATGGGAGTCCTGGCCACCCGCCGCCCAAGGGTAAATTAGCCGTCTTGTCAGGTCCGCTTAACCGAACATCTGCACGGCAAGGAGTCGCAACATGTTTCACAAAGGCAGGTACATAATGCGGTTCTTCACCCCGTACCTTCAGTACAACGTAGGACGCG